TTCTTTCTTTTCTTTCTTTCTTTCTTTCATTCCCTTTCTTTTCCTTCCTTCCCTTTCCTCTCCTTTTTTTTTCACCTTCTTAGACATTTTTCTGATACTTCTTCACTAGAACTCTATATTGAATCCTGCCACATCCCTTTGTCATAGATGGTTGAACTTCACACTTACGCATTTGTATATGCTATTTCCTTTGCCAAGAATATCCTATGCATAGTAGTCCTTCAAATCCTGACTCCAGCATCACTTTCTCTAGAAAGCTCTCCTAGATAACCACAACTTGTTTGGGTGTGTCTTAAGGGTTCCAGTGGCCCCTGTCCTTCAGGTGATGGCATGTCCCAGGGCAAGGTACTCTGTTCTGCCAGCTTAAATACTGTCACTTTCACAGTGATATATAAACTCACAACATTCCTTAGAATTAAAAAATTATAATGTGTAGATAGTAAATGCTTAAGAAATAGTTCTGTTAAATAATTTAATTTTTATCTTTAAGTATTATGTAATAATTACATAGTATATACAAGGATTTGCTCTTATATTATCTTCAGTAATTAATATATGTTTTATAGGTTCAGCCTAGACTTCTTCCCTGAGTTCTAAACTCTAATACCCAACCATCTTCCTTTTCTTTTCTTTTTCTTTCTTTTTTTTTTTGAGAGGGGAGGTTATTAGATTTATTTATTTGGTTATGTTTGGAGGGGGTACTGGGGTTTGAACCCAGGACCTTGTGCATGCTAAGCATGTGCTCTACCACTGAGCTATACTCTCCCCCTCCAACCATCTTCCTTAATAGACATGTCAGACTCAACATGTCCTGATCCTTTCTCCAAAATCTGCTCGAACTGCAGCCTTTCCTAACGCAGTTCAGGCAGCTGTATCCTGGCCACAAAAAACCTTGGAGCCATTCTCCATTCCTCTTTCTTTAAAGCCCAACATCCTGTCCATCAGCACATCTTCATGAGCCTGCCTTATACACACACTCAAACTAGGACCACTTCTCATGACCTCCATGGCCACCACCATGGCCTGTAAGTCATTATTATTTCTTCTTACCAGCCTCCCTGCTTCTCACTTTGCCTCCTCACAATGTACTCCAAGGCTTCCAGACTGACCCTTTTAAAATAAGTCAGATAATGGAATTCTTTTGCTCAAACTCTCAGCATAAAAGCCAACTTCCTTGTATTGGCTCACAAGGCTCTTATGAGTTGACTCTGGGCTTACTGAAATCAGCTCCTACTGCCCTACTCCAGGCTCCGTCTCTTTCAGCCACACTAGACTTGTTGCAGTTCCTAACATTTCCAGACTTACTCCCTCCTCAGGGTCTTTGCACTTACTGTTTCCTCTGCCTGCCGTGTGCTTTCCCCAGATATGTTCACGATTTGCTTTTGTACCTCCTTCGAGTCTTTGCTCAGATATCACCTAGATGTAAAATCTTTCGTGATAAGCATATTTAAAATTATTCCCCTTTCCTGAAATTCTGTCTCCTTTACCAACTTCATTTTTCTCCACAGCACTTATCATTTTCTAATATACACTAGACTTTTCTTTTTTTTAATTGAAGTATAGACTTTGCTTTTTAATTTTTGAATTTTGTCTCTTCCACCAGCGCACACATGTTCACATACATAATAAAAAGTAAGGTCCATGTAAACATAATTTTTGTTTTGTTCATTGCTGGACCCCGAGAATCTAGAAAATTGCCCTGGCCCATAGCAGATACCCATGAAGGATTTGTTGCTTGAATAAATTATATAAAAATGCAAATTTCAATTCTTTTCCATTTATCCAAAAGCTTCTTAAAATTTACTCTAAATTATATTCAGAAGAAAAATCATGTTTTGATGACAAAATAAGACTTGGGATTATTTCATGTGTAGTTTAGATATTGAGTGTAATTTAAAGGTAGGTTGAAATGACATTATTTATTGTGACAAAAACAACTTGCTTTCACGATCTAATGTTAGCAAGTGTATTTGGAGTTTAAAAAATCAAATTGCCTGTATTTATAATGTTAGTGATTTGTTTCTAAGTTGAACCAGACATGTTTATATGTAAACCAATATTAAGTTGAAAAACAGTCAAAAGCAACTCAGTGCCTAATAGTGTTTAGTAGCCTGAATGAAAATATAATTCACACACATCTCATTCTTAGCTGTGCATCCTCTCCTAGACTTTCTTGGTGCCTGTGGCATTTTTGTGACTTACCAACATTGGAGGTAAGTTTTTCTGCCAAAATGAGTGAGGCTCTTGGCGTCTTCTGGACTTCCCCCACCTCCCAACGTGGG